GCTCAAGCTCACCAATTTTTACTAAGTCAAAACTGAATTAATCTATAAGCAAAACCCTAGGTGCACAACTCCACATACTTATCAAAATTCCTGTCAATTTTGTTGGCTCTAGCGCAAGCACTTTTATTAGCGCAAGCACTTTTATTAGCGCAAGCACTTTTAGAGCTACATATGACACAACATTAGAACGGACTGAAGCATTTACAAGGGCAAATCTAAATGCCCCTGCAATAAATGAATTGGCTTAATTTTGTCATTTATTTGTGGATTTGATTGGACTAAAGAACTCCTACGATAAAACCGTGATGTTGAAAAATTAAAATAATAGCTAATTATGCCCCCATTTCGAAGAAAAGGGGGTATATTGCTTTGCACTTGTCGGTCCGTCGGTCCGTCGGTCTGTCGGTCCGTCGGTCCGTCGGTCCGTAGACCAAATGGTTTCCGAGTGATAACTAAAGAACCCTTAGGCCTAGGAACTTCAAACTTGGTATGGTGATTAATCATGACCAGTAGATGACCCCTATTGATTTTGGGGTCAAGGGGTCAAAGGTCAAGGTCACATTGACCTTGTAAGCAAAAACGGTTTCCAATCAATAACTAAAGAACCATAAGGCCTAGGAACTTCAAACTTGGTATGGTGATTGGTCATGATCAGTAGATGACCCCTTTTGATTTTGGGGTCAAGGGGTCAAAGGTCAAGGTCACATTGACCTTGTAAGCAAAAACGGTTTCCGATCAATAACTAAAGAACCTGAAGGCCTAGGAACTTCAAACTTGGTATGGTGATTGGTCATGATCAGTAGATGACCCCTATTGATTTTGGGGTCAAGGGGTCAAAGGTCAAGGTCACATTGACCTCTTGGGTAAAAACGGTTTCTGACAAATAACAAAAGAACCCTTAGGCCTAGGAACTTCAAACTTGGTATGGTGATTGGTTATGACCAGCAGATGACCCCTATTGATTTTGGGGTTAAGGGGTCAAAGGTCAAGGTCACATTGACCTTGTAGGTAAAAACGGTTTCCGATCAATAACGAAAGAACCCTTAGGCCTAGGAACTTCAAACTTGATATGGTGATTGGTCATGATCAGTAGATGACCCCTATTGATTTTGGGGTCAAAGGTCAAGGTCACATTGACCTCTTAGGTTAAAACGGTTTCCGATCAATAACTAAAGAACCCTTAGGCCTAGGAACTTCAAATTTGGTATGGTGATTGGTCATGACCAGCAGATGACCCCTATTGATATTGGGGTTAAGGGGTCAAAGGGCAAGGTTATATTGACCTTGTAGGTAAAAATGCTTTACAATCAATAACTTAAGAACCCTTCGGCTAAGGAACTTCAAACTTGGTATGGTGATTGGTCATGACCAGCAGATGACCTATTGATTTTGGGGTCAAGGGGTCAAAGGTCAAGGTCACATTGACCTTGTAGGTAAAAATGGTTTCCGATCAATTAACTAAAAACGCTTAGGCCTAGGAACTTCAAACTTTGTATGATGATTGGTCGTGACCAGCAGATGACCCCTATTGAGTTTTGGGTCAAGGGGTCAAAGGTCAATGTCACATTGACCTTGTAAGTAAAAATGGTTTCTGATCAAAAACTTAAGAACGCTTAGGCCTAGGAACTTCAAACTTGGTATGGTGATTTGTCATGACCAGCAGATTACCCCTATTGATTTTGGGATCAAGGGGTCAAAGGTCAAGGTCACATTGACATTGTAAGTAAAAACGGTTTCTGATCAATAACTTAAGAACGCTTAGGCCTAGGAACTTCAAACTTGGTATGGTGATTGGTCATGACCAGCAGATGACCTATTGATTTTGGGGTCAAGGGGTCAAAGGTCAAGGTCACATTGACCTTGTAGGTAAAAACGGTTTCCGATCAATTAACTAAAAACGCTTAGGCCTAGGAACTTCAAACTTTGTATGATGATTGGTCATGACCAGCAGATGACCCCTATTGATTTTGGGGTCAAAGGTCAAGTTCACATTGATCTTGTATGTTAAAACGGTTTCCGATCAATAACTAAAGAACCCTTAGGCCTAGGAACTTCAAACTTGGTATGGTGATTGGTCATGACCAGCAGATGACCTATTGATTTTGGGGTCAAGGGGTCAAAGGTCAAGGTCACATTGACCTTGTAGGTAAAAACGGTTTCCGATCAATTAACTAAAAACGCTTAGGCCTAGGAACTTCAAACTTTGTATGATGATTGGTCATGACCAGCAGATGACCCCTATTGAGTTTTGGGTCAAGGGGTCAAAGGTTAAGGTCATGATCAGTAGATACTTGATAACCCTTATTAATTGTTTGATCACTGGGTCAGAAGTCATGCATAATAACCTTATCACATGACTTACTGGCTGCAGATAGGGGGCATACATGTTTTACAAACATATCTTGTTTCTCAAACATTTCGAAAGTTGGAAAACTTAATAATCATTATAGAATGTAGTGGTAAGACAAGAGGTGAGTTTTTGACAATGCGGAGCTTCTGTTTAGTTTATTTACACATTTGTTGATCTCAGGGGTCTGTCCACCTTATCAGCTTTCCTGGATAACTTACTGGTAAACACCAAAACCTTCCTCAAGTATAGAACTGTGATTCCCGCATGAATTCTGAGTCAGTGGTGAGATACAAAGGAAACAAAACAGATGTATCACTGTTTATCATCAAATTAGTAACTCAGAAATTATATGGGATTAGTAGTTTTACATTCATGGAAAGACTGGTAATAACTAATTACAATGTAGTTATCAAGGAAAGATGATCAGGTGGATTGACTGGCAAGATATGTCCAAAAAACATTTGTTAAATCAAGAAAAACAAACAAGAATTAATGTCCTGAATCAAATTTCATAGAGAAATTTAGCCTTACTTGAGGATCAAACCATTGATTGCAAATCTTATGCTGTCCTTAAACATTTGGGCAAAACAAGAAAGACAGACAATATAATATTTGCTTGTTTCTTTTTAATTATTGGTGTAAATGTACAGACTTTGTTTTTAAGGTCTCTAATATGATGCAAATAAAATTTGTGATAGGTAGAAATTAGCTTGTTTGTTTTAGTAATACCTCTTTTTGAACATTTTGCGATTTAAAGTTTGCAATCAAAGTAAAACAGATGATTTGCATTTCAGGTATGAAAATACTGCGGTGCCTTGATACATGTCAAATTGAAACTAAATACCTCAATAACAAAACATTTAGATATGGTCACTGGCATTGTTTTGCCTGTTCAAATGCCATTGAAAAGCGCCCAGATTGTTTTATACATTACAAGAGACATTTGAATGAATTTGGCTCCAGTTTTCAAGTTCATATAGCACAGGTAAATTGGGATGTAAATATTGTATTGTTGAAAACTGTATATAAATCTATATTTCTTTATTAGCTCTTTGTGTCTGAGAGATGAACTTTTTTGATAAAGTCATGTCTGTCTTCTATTGTTATCCGCAAAGTCTTTTAACAACATCTCCTGAATTACATGATAGATTTTAATCAAACTTCACAGATATGGCAGTACTCTATAAGAATTATAAAAGAACCACAATTGTAAAATCTACTCCTAATATACAGTGCTAACATACTTGGCATGTAGCATTGCCTTGTTGACCTCTATTAAAGTTCTGTAAATTATGTACCTTGACTTAAAAATGACCCTGCCCTAGGGTTCAGTAAGTTAACTTCCAGTAAGTTAACATTAAATTTTATTGGAAAATGGTCTGGCCTTTAGGTCACATTTGTGACTTATATACATTGACAAATTTTATAAATCAGTAACTACAATACTCAGACCTTAGATATTTAATAAGTAGCATGACCTTGTTGTTCTCCACATAACAACAAATTTGGAAATCATAGTTTCTTTTCAGATATTTTATATTTTATCAGGCATTTTTTTTTCTTACTCATAAGATCATTTTATTTCAGGATGTAAATTCATTAACTTCAAGCACATCAACTATCTATGAAATTCAAAACACTCTCCATGGTATAGAAATGCGTGTATCTGCTGTAAATAATACACAGGATTTTCATAGTATTGGAATACATACCCCACTGCCTGGGAACAGTCTAAGCCCTTCAAGTTAGTTATTGTTTTCTGCTTGAACTGGAGGTGTCACAGTTAGAAAAAATGCTAACCTTTTAAACGGTGATGTAATAACCATGTTAAAAATTTAGCCGACTGTACTGAATCATAAAATCCTTAGATTTTCAATATTAACTTTGTTTCTTTATGGCAAGATATGCCATTTTGTTCATATTTTGTTGTACTCCAAATGATAATACATATCCGAATATGGAGTAACTATTTTCTGCTAGGGTCGTACTGTATTCAATCAGTTTGGAAAAAATACATTGTTGAGTACAACTAAAACACAAATAATTGTCATATCTTGTCATAAAAAAGGAAGGTAATATTTAGAATCAATTTAAAACATTTCCGGCCCTTAGTCAAATACTAACCTCAGTTACTGGTTATTGAATTTTCTAACTGGATAAACATGACACCCATAGTTTGAACAGTGTAATATTTATATATATTTAAGCTGAATTTGAACAAAGTATATAGCTAATGTTAGAGTAATTCTAAAGTAAGCACAAACTGTTGTCATTTAAAGAATCACTGGTAAGGTTAAACCTGCAATCCCTAAGATGAGGGACAAACACCTTAATTACAAAGTCTTCTCCTCAAAAACTTTGATTTCTGTTCGAACAATAACATAGAGCTAGACAAATATTTTTCAGAAACAATTTTTTTACTGTTTATATTAAAGCCAGTTTTAGTTGGCTTCATTTATTTATGAAAAGTCAGGATACCATGAAAACAAGCTGGAATAAATTCTATAAAAAAGTTTAATGGCCTTCTTGTATAGAGTACAGCATTTTACAAATGCTCTATATATTTTTTCATGTTTAATATACCTTTGGTTCACAGAATATGTTGGTGGACATAGTCCTTCCAAGAGACCATACACTGATACAGGACTTGGTGTACATGATGATGTTTTATATGTGGAGGAAGATGAACAGGGAAATGTGCTGTCCACTTATACATCTGAGGTGAAATATCAAGATGTTTATATTATTTATAGCTCTAATGTAATGAGTCAACTTCATAACTTTTAGCTCATGAGAGCACAAGGTGTTCAAGGTGAGCTTTTATCATCAATCACCATCTGTGGCTAACCACAAATACATTTGTCCACACTTCTTTGAAAAATACCTCATTCTAAACCACAAGGTCAATTAAATCAAAACTTTCTAGGTATGATGCTAATTTGAAAGTTGTTCAAAAAAATGCATTCCATGCAGAAGTTAGATTACAATGGCAACTGCTGAAAGAAAAAACTTGAAAAATCATCTCCTGAAAGTGTAGTGGACTTCTACCAAGCTTTCTTTAAAAATCATCTCCTCTCAAGCCATAAAGATACAGCTAAGATAATCAGCATGGAACATCATCTAGTAGGCCTCTAACAAGTTTGTTCAAATTGAAGCCCTGGGGTTAAAATTGGTGTGGTCCTGGGGATGGGGTCATAGGTTTTGTTTTTTATGCCCCCGCCATGTAATGGCCGGGGCATATTGTGTTACCCTGTTCCGTCATTCCGTCCTTCCGTCATTCTGTCATTCCGTCATCATCAGTTTCCGTTCATTATCTTAAGAACGGTTGAACATATTCAACTCAAATTTGACATATGGATATGTCATGAGAAAATACAGGTCAAGTTCGAATTTGGTCATGGATCGATGATTTTTGGCAGAGTTATGCCCCTTTTACTTTGAAAATAATATGAAATTTCAGTTTCCGTTCATTATCTTAAGAACGGTTGGACACATTCAATTCAAACTTGACATATGGATATGTCATGAGAAAATACAGGTCAAGTTCGAATTTGGTTATGGTTCAATGATTTTTGGCAGGGTTATGCCCCTTTTACTTTGAAAAAATATGAAATTTTCAGTTTCCGTTCATTATCTCCCCAATGGTACAACACAATCAACTCAAACTTGACATATTGATATGTCATGAAAAAATACAGGTCAAGTTCGAATTTGGTCATGGTTCGATGATTTTTGGCAGAGTTATGCCTCTTTTACTTTGAAAATAATATGAAATTTTCAGTTTCCGTTCATTATCTCCCTAAAGGTACAACACATTCAACTCAAACGTGACATATGGATGCGTCAAAGGAATGCGCAGGTCAAGTTTAAATTTGGTCATGGGTCAATGATTTTTGGCAGTGTTATGCCCCTTTCACTTTGAAAGTAATATGAAATTTTCAGTTTCCGTTTATTATCTCCCCAATGGTACAACACATTCAACTCAAATTTGACATATGGATATGTTTTTGGAATGCCCAGGTCAAGTTCAAATTTGGTCATGGTTCAATGATTTTTGGTAGAGTAATGCCCCTTTCACTTTGAAAATAATATGAAATTTACAGTTTCTGTTCATTATCTACCCAACAGTGTCACATATTCAACTTTAATTTGACATATGGATATGTCAAAGGACTGGGCAGGTCAAGTTGGAATTTGATCATGGTTTGATGATTTTTTGGCAGAGTTATGTCTCTTTCACTTTGAAAATAATATAGTTACATCTTAGGAATAAGCAGTTTAAGTTTGAATTTGGTCGCTGTTCAATGAGTTTAGACAAACTTATCTCTCCTGAATGTTGGAAAAATTTTGAACTTTCAGTTTCACCACTCACACTTTTAGCCATTATTTTGGCTACAAATATGCAATATGCTATTTCTAAAAGGTTAAGACTGAATAATTTCAGTGCCTTGAACATTGTATGGAAATGGTTTGTGTTAACATTGAAAAGTTTTAAGGGCTTTGAGCTTAAAATGAAAAAAATAATTAATGCACAATCTGAAATTTTGGCTGCATGCGGGGCATCCGTGGCATGATGACACATTTCTAGTTTGTATATATAGTAAAATGTTTTATAACTTTAAGGTTTGACTGACATCTTCTCCTAAGTGCCTATAGACTTTGTTGAAGCTCTACGTATATGATCATTTGGCAGTCCTTTACTAAATTGCTCAAATAGTTCTTGCTTACAAAATGGCCGCAAATTCTTAAGATAGGAATAAGCTTTTAGTGATATTTTCTATTCAACCATGCCTCAGAATAATTAATGCAGGGCTTCACAAATCCTATTTTTTTGATGTCCTGCACAACTCTAAAACCACTTTGGACAACTGACAATAAACAGAAAGCTAGTCCCGGACAAGTCTAGATTTGAAAGAGACATCTGTCTATTAATATAATTTTTATATTTTTGAGGCCCACATAGAAGATCGAGAAAAACTGAATGTGTAAGCCTCATTAAATAAAGGCATTATGCACTCACTCACTCACCAACTCACTCACTCACATACTCACTCAGAAATACAATTCTACATAGCATGGTGCATTGGTAATTGACAAATTATAAATGAACCTTTACATAAAAAATGATCTTGATGTGGTCTTTAACAAAATTTACAAAAAAGGTTTTATGCTCAATACAGAAATAAGACTTGGATAACATCTCCTCTAGCCCTTGGATGATTTTGATAAAACAGAATAAATAGGGATGCCTGGGTAATTAAATCTTGTTGTAGCTTACATTTATTTTTATAAGTTAATGACTAACAACATTTTTTATGCCCCATTGGATGCTATTTTATTCTTGTTAACATGAGAAATGGTGAAATATCGACCATGTTCACAAATTTTTGATTTAGGCCATCAATTTTTGAAAATTACTGTAGACTTTAAAATAATTTTTTTTGAAAATTTCCATGCTTTCTTACCAAAATATGTATTTTGTCAATATTTGCAAATTCATGAATTTACTTCATTTTTAGCTCGACTATACAAAGTATATGGAGAGCTGTGCTACTCGCGTTGGCGTCCGCGTCCAGATTTTAGATTAAAGTTTTGGTGCTGTAAAATATTTTTCACTATAACTTTGTCATTTCTTAAGGTATCAACTTCAAACTTCAAATATATGTTCCTTATCATCAACCACATCTTATGTGACAAGGTTCATAACTCTAGCACCAGTATTTTTAGATTTATCTCCCCTTGAACTTAGAATTTTTCTGTTACTGTTACTTCTTTATTTCTTAAGGGATCAACCTCATACTTCAAATATATGTACCTTATCATCATCCCCATCTTATGTGACAAGGTTCATAACTCTAGCACCAATATTTTCAGATTTATCTCCCCTTGAACTTAGAATTTTCCTCAAAAAATACTATTTTTTAATGTTTCTTCTTTATTTCTAAAGGGATCAACCTCATACTTCAAATATATTTACGTTATCATCGCCCCCATCTTATGTGACAAGGTTCATAACTCTAGCACCAATATTTTCAGATTTATCTCCCTTTGAACTTAGAATTTTCCATAAAAAATATTATTTTTTACTGTTACTTATTTATTTCTAAAGGGATCAACTTCATACTTCAAATATATTTACGTTATCATCATCCACATCTTATGTGACAAGGTTCATAACTCTTGCACCAATATTGCAAGAATTATCTCCCCATAAACTTAGATTTTTTTAACTAGAAAAATGTTATTTTTAGCTCACCTGTCACTGTCACAAAGTGACAGGGTGAGCTTTTGTGATTGCTTTTCGTCCGGCGTCCGTCCGGCGTCCGTAAACTTTTACTTTAAATGACATCTTCTCATAAACCACTAAGCCAATTTCATCCAAACTTCACAGGAATGTTCCTTTGGTGGTCACCTTTGAAAATTGTTCAAAGAATTTAATTCCATGCAGAACTCTGGTTGCCATGGCAACCAAAAGAAAAAACTTTAAATATCTTCTTCTAAAAAACCCAAAGAGCTAGAGCTTAGATATTTGGCATGAAACATCTTCTAGTGAGTGTCTACCAAGTTTGTTCAAATAAAAGCCCTGGGGTCAAAATTGGCCCCGCCCCAGGGGGTCATTGATTTTCCCTATATGCATATAGTAAAAACTTAAAAAATCTTCTTTTAAAGAACCCAAAGAGCTAGAGCTAAGATATTTAGCATGAAACATCCTCTAATGGGTGTCTACCAAGTTTGTTCAAATAAAAGCCCTGGGGTCAAAATTGGCCCCGCCCCAGGGGGTCATTGATTTTCCCTATATGCATATAGTAAAAACTGATAAAATCTTCTTTTAAAGAACCCAAAGAGCTAGAGCTAAGATATTTAGCATGAAACATCCTCTAATGGGTGTCTACCAAGTTTGTTCAAATAAAAGCCCTGGGGTCAAAATTGGCCCCGCCCAAGGGGGTCATTGATTTTCCCTATATGCATATAGTAAAAACTTAAAAAATCTTCTTTTAAAGAACCCAAAGAGCTAGAGCTAAAGATATTTAGCATGAAACATGTTCTAATGGATGTCTACCAAGTTTGTTCAAATAAGAGCCCTTGGGTCAAAATTGGCCCCGCCCCAGGGGGTCATTGATTTTCCTTATATGTGTAAAGCAAAATATTTAAAAATCTTCCTTGAAAAAAAAAACAAATAGCTAGAGTTTAGATACTAAGCATGAAACATCTTCTAGTGAGTATCTACCAAGTTTGTTCTTATAAAAGCCCTGGGGTCAAAATTGGCCCCCCCTCGGGGGTCATTTATTTTCCTTATATGTGTATATAGCAAAAACTTAAAAATCTTCTTTGAAAAAACTCAAATAGCTAGAGTTTAGATATTAAGCATGAAGCATCTTCTAGTGAGTGTCTACAAAGTTTGTTCAAATGAAAGCCCTGGGGTCAAAATTGGCCCCGCCCCGGGGACATTGATTTTCCATATATGTGTATAGCAAAAACTTAAAAATCTTCTTTGAAAAAGCCGAATAGCTAGAGTTTAGATATTAAGCATGAAACATTTTCTAGTAAGTGTCTACAAAGATTGTTCAAATAAAAGCCCTTGGGTCAAAACTGGCCCTGCCCCAGGTGTGTCATTGTTTTTAACTATATGTGTAAAGAAAAAACTTGACCAGCTAGACCTTAGATGTTCAGCATGAAACATCTTCTAATGGGTGTCGTAACCAAGTTTGTTCAAATAAAAGCCCTGGGATTTATACTGGCCCAGCTCCGGGGGCCTATATACAGGTGAGCGATTTCAGGGCAATCATGGCCCTCTTGTTTATTATAACTTTTTTTTTTTAAAAGGTATCTACCTCAAACATCAAATACTTATTCCTTATCATCAATTACATTTTATGTGACAATGTTCATAACTCTTGAAGCAATATTTACAGATTTATTTCTCTTTGAACTTATTAAGAAATATAATAACTTCTTTACTTTTTAAGGTATCTACTTCAAACTTCAAATATATATTTCTTATCATTACACAAATGTTGTGTGGCAAGGTCCATAACTCTAGCATGACTATTTCTAGAATTATTCCCCTTGATCTTGGAATTTATGTTAACAAATGTTTTTTTACTATAATTGATTTTTCTTTCATAGTTTTGTACTCCTTACTGCATCCAGTATTTTATTAGTCCAGCTTCGCTGTCTCCTGTGACAGCTCTTGTTGTAGTCATAATTGATTGTTGTTGAATAAACATACCCCTATTTCACTGGCTATATCCTGGAATAGACCTCGGTGTCTAAACCAGGAGTGTATATATGGTTCATTCCGTTTTCTATAGTGTATTATACTTCTATTTACTTCTGAAATATACATTGGGGTCTATTCCAGGAGATTGCCATTTCAATATCTATCTGACATTCAGTTTTGCCAACATTTAAGTAAATGATTATGCCTCAGTGGATGTTTATTAAATTATGGTAATGTACATTTTTGTACCAGTAACAAAATAAACCAGTTTGTATGGTATGAGGTGATATGTTTTTCAACATTTGATAATATGTAAATTTGTTAGTATATAAATGATACATAAGTACATAATTGCACTACATTTCACTTAATTTTATTTATGGTATTGTTTAAAATTAATACTGTATTTATATAGATATAATAGTTAATATGCATTTATAGAATATACATACTTAATTAGCAATTACTGTGAAAGACATATGAAGCAGGAGCATCAATGTTCTATGGTAACATTTCTACTGCAGTTTAAAGTACAATATGAAATTTTTTTTATTTTTCAGCAAATTCCCACAGCTGGACAGGAAAATGTTGTGGTATCATATCCTGAGTACCCTGATGTCAGCCTATTGAAAACAAGGATTCGAGAAGTTGAAATGAAAAATAAAAAGTTGGAAAGGAAGAATTGTCTTCAGAATTCATATATTGATTTCCTTGAAGAAACTGTAAGTAGTTGTCCTCAATAGTTAATAAGTGGTTGTCCTCAATTGATTATTTTTCATAACTTTGCCCCATGCCTATGAAAATTAAAGGTGATTTTCTTTGAGCACATTTGTAGTGTGTTGCATCTAAAATTGTAGCCAAATTTATACTTATGAATCAAAGGTTAAACTGTATGCCATTTTTCTGTGTATGCTGTTACTCTGCCTTGGATTTACAGGTTCTCAAATAAAATTGCATAAATGTCATTATGTCAACCTCAGTGAAACAATGTGTTACATACAAGATACCACTAAAAGCTGAAATATTTTATATGCAGTTCTAATTGTATTTTTGCAAATTGACAGGGAATTCAGTTTTACTTCTTATAGTCTTATAGTGATATGTTGGAATACTTTAAGTAACTAACGATCTACATAGAAAGTTAATGTCAGCGCCAGCTTTGAGCTGTAATGCAGATTTTTATCTAAGAAATCTGATCTGTTGAATTCATTTTATTTAGACTTTTTACTGTGTAAATGTATAAGCCCTTGTGAAAATGCAGGCTGATTCTTTTCATTTTAAGATAACTTTATTAATTGTTAGCATTTGGTCTAAAAAATAAATTTGATTGTTTTTTTCTTATCACAGATATCAGAGCAGAAGGAGAAGCATAGCAAAGAAGTGGAGAAACTGAAGGCGAAAATTTCAGAGTTAAAAAGAGAAGCCTGCATTTATGATGATACCTCAGAATCACCAATCACTGAAGGGAATAATTCCAACAATTCTCATGCATCATTAGGTGAATTTGCTGCTAGTGCAATACCAAAGAAATTCTTTACAAAGAAAAATGTTTCCGAATCAGATAAAAAATCATCAGTAGACAACCCTGTTGCTATGGATATAGTTGTTGATCAGCTAAGTGAACTAAAAAAGGAAGTAGCAGGTTTGCGGAACAGTCTCCACAGCAATATTACACCGAATATCAACCTTGGAGCAAACATTGTAGGACAGAGTACACCTCCTGTATATTTCATTCCCAATCAAGGATTGACAACTCCATACATCTTTCCACAAAATATGACTGGTTTACCTAACACAAATCTTGTTACTGCTCAGAATGTGCCATTGATTCATAACACAACTGCTTTAAATACTCAACAACAGAAAATGATAAGTTCTGTTCAATCTGATGCAGCATTGCCAAATACTGACACAGTAAATACAAATACTGACACAGTAAATACAAATACTGAAACTGTAAATACAAATACTGACACATTAAATACAATGGAACAGCCTGAATCAGCAACAAGCACAGATGATACCGACATTTCTATTGATGAATCGTGTATCCAGACTAAAACTATGAATTGTGATGATGTATCAAAACTGGCTTCAAAGGGGGAACAGTCGACAATTAAATCAAAAGTTGTGCATGATAAAATATTCCCAATGAAAGCAGATGGTACTACTATTGATGATGAAGAAATCATCAGAGAAGATGATGTACAATCTGAAATTACCAGTCCAGATGCCTCTCCTCAAAAAGTTAATTCAAATGCGACGGTTTCTGAGTCGGTGAATAGCATGTCTGGTCTGTCAAATGAGGACTCTGAAAACGAGGATAAATATTATGCAACACCTTTAAGAATTGAGAAATCAACTGTCTCAAAGAATGTTGAGACCATTTCAGTCCCAAGTGAAAAATTAAACACCGTGACACAAAGTACTGTTGAAGCAGTTTCATCAAGTAGTGGGACCTCTGTACATAACAGTTCTACTGGTGTTGTAAATACAAACAATAAAACAACAGGTACTGTTATAAGTGGGACTAAGAATGTTCCATCTATGTTTCCAGCCAATATTGGCATACAGAGCACAGCAACAAATCCAGTGATGATGATACCAAACCAAAATTTAATGAACCAGTTCATAACTCCTCAAAATATGCCAACTATGGTAAATCCATTAGGGATGAATGCTTCAGATCAGTTTGTAGTAGTGCAAAGTCAAGCCGGTTCTTTTTTAGTTCCAAAGAGCAGAATTTCAGGATTGGATAAAATTCCAGGCATGAACTCTTCAGGAAATACAGTGCCAACAAGTAAAAATGTTAAAAAGAATACTACACAGATACGCCAATCAAATAAGAGTTTAGATGATTCTGTCACATCAAATAATGTTGACAAGGTAGATAAAGGAAAAAGCAAAGATAATGTTTCAGCAAAGTCAACTCAGAGAATAGTGAAAGCTAAAGTAACTTTGAGTGACCATCAATTTCCAGCTTGTACATATTATGGGAATACGAAAAAGCTAAATACTAAATATATAAGCACACCAATGCCTAAGAAAAGGGCAAATGAAACTGAACCAGCAAGAAAAGAACAGCAAGGGGAATCCATAGTGAATACAGGCAATACAAATGTAACAATCTCAAAAGAACACAGTAACAAAGGATTAATATCTGAACAGTCAGTGTCAGTTAGTGATGAATCCAGCAAGATAGGAGAGTCAGATGATGAAACAGCAGTTCCTGCAAAGAAAAGTAAAGTATTAGTGTTGAAAGTAAATAAAGAAATTAACAAACAATCTTTGAACAAACTACTCCAAAAAACCAAAGTATTGTACAAAAATGTTAAAGTCATTGGAACGAATAAGTAGTTTTTTAGATGTAAATTGGGATAATGTCTTAACAAGTAAAGTCTTATTCAGGGTATTGAATTTTAGATTTTAATGCAAATATTGTTTACTCTTTCCAGCTTATATCCTAGATCAAGTTATAGCACAACAATAGACATATACCAATTCGTAAAAGAGAAAACTATTTTAGATAATATGTATTAGTTTTGTTTTGTTTTTTTTTTCTCAAAAGAAAATAAAAAAAGTGCTTGTCCGGAAAACTCTTGAAACTACAGGTGCAATCTCATCCAATCCGTACAGGAATGATCAGTACCAAGTCTAGTTCTGCATATCGTAGGCATTTTGAATGAATTTCGGCAGAGTTATTGCCATTTGATGATTTTTATTTTTAAAGTTTGTCTGGACTACACCTCTATACCACTTAAGCAATTTCAGTGAAACTTTACAGAAATTAATCTATAGCTTAAGTACATGAGCATATTACACGGTTCTATGGTTGAATGATTTTACGCTGAGTTATGGCCCTTGAATAAAAAAGGTGGTAATAAAGTATGTACAGATTATTCCTCTTGTACTGCGAATGCATGAATGTACTATTATCTATCTATGAATGACCAAGAATCTTGTTATTTTGAAAAAAAAAATAGAGGTATTGTTATAGTCCTGCCGGTGGCTCTTGTTACAAAAGGTACTGAACTGTAGAACAAAAAGTGTATGAAAAATTCTAATAATTATTTGAACTATTACATCTGCAATTTCAGTTAACCAAAGTCATAGATAGTTGATATCTTTCTGACATTAAGGCTGTTGTTTTTGTGATGAAATATTAACTTTTGAAATGGCACCTTTTGACTTTTGGGCAACCAATTTTTTTTTATCTGCTAAAAGTGTTTCTTATTATTATACATATATACTAGTTGATTTACATAATTAATAAATTACTTTGTTAATTTGAACTTAAATTTAATTTTAAAAATGTATGTTTGTTTTTAAAATTACATGATTTTTAACGTAGAATCATAATGGGGTTATCTTATTATTAATGTTAACATGAAAGCTTTGTTTAATGGTTAAATATGTGTAACTTCATATTTAATTACTCTATAAACTTGTTCATTTGAAACTTCACACTTTAAAAACCATTACTTTAGCACAGTTATTTTATCTATTAAAGCCGTATGTGAAATTCTAAGTTTTGCATGCAAGGTCAAATTCAACAAATATTGGAGCTGTTAAAACTTCACATTAGTCTATTTTATCATAATTGTTGATCTCTGTTTAACACCCATACCTCTTACATAGATTTTGAACTACACACAAAATTTATTTTGTACTTGTGCATGCAAGAATTGAAGATTTCTCTACACAAATAGAGTAGGAAATAGTATTAACTTGAAATGCCAGACATGTTTTACAGATCATAAGTATAGGTCACTCTCCAGGACACATAACTCTTGCATACATTCAGACTAAATTATAGCCCTTTGTTAAAAAAAATACTGGTTAATGTCAAGCTTATAAAACTATCAATGCAACAGCTGATGGTGTTCACTTGAAACTTCAAACATATGTTTGGGTCATTTTCAAAACATGCCACCTGATGTTCACTTGAAACCTCAAACATATGTTTGGGTCATTTTCAAAACATGCCACCTGATGGTGTTCACTTGAAACCTCAAACATATGTTTGGGTCATTTTCAAAACATGCCACCTTTGTATTTTATGTTGACTGAATTATTTCCCTTTATTTTTAACTTGCTATAACTTTACTATAAAGTACAGACAATAGAAAATCCTCTTCCTACTTACTTATGAGTCCTTGTGTATTTACTACCAGTACATGATAAACATATTTCAAATTTTCAGTTTTTTAGAATGCCAATGCAACCTCTGCAGGGCAACTCCCTCCAGGAGATAATAATTTTGGTTATTTTTGAAGAGAGGTTAATATTGTTGGGAAAAATTGATACCAGGTTGTTGTAAAGAGGTTATTGCTCTTTCTGCAGAGGTTACACTGTATTTAACACACACAGCAACAGATAAACTCTTTTTTGCTTGAGATTGTTTTATTTTTGGCAATTTCTGTACAACGATTTATACATTTTGTAATGCATGTAATTACTTCTGTTACAAACTGAGTTATGCTTGTTTTGATATTTTACAGTTTGTTAGAAGAAATGTGTTTGTGAAACGGTCATATTAAAATATGCTTGTGCTAATGTAAGAAAATATATGGAATATTTCTGAGAAAACATTATTGTTATGTCTTTGCATAATTTTATTGATTTTAGCTTGCCTGAGCACAGTGTGAGCGATTGTGACCAGGCTGTCTACTGTGCTCTTTAAAACAGTATCTCCTCTAAAACTGCTGGGCCAAATGTGATAAAACTTGATTTGGGATGTTTCTAGCAAAAAGCTGGACCAAAGTTGTTGTGAGTCTATAATATGCAATTTTCAAAATCATTTGTACCTCTACAGTATTAATACTTTAAAGATATATTGAAAATTGTCTGATGATGTAATATTATTGTTGTTGTGAATATTGGGAAATTAATTTTTAGTCCCCTACCGGTTTACCGGAGGGGACTTTAGGTTTACCCTCCGTTCATCTGTCAGTCCACAAAACTGGATCCTGCGATAACGCAAAAAGCACTGAAAATATTTTTAAGAAACTTGATATATGGATAGATGGCAGTATTGAGAGGTCTTTTTCTTTTATTCCTATATTGAAAATTCTGGTTCCTATGGCAACCAATAGACTAAAAATATGGCAAATTTTACGGATAAACTGGATCTAGTGATAAAGCAAAAAAGTACTGGGAATATTTTAATGAAACTTGAAATATGGGTAGATGGCAGCCTGAAGATTATGCACGTCTTTTTCTTTTCTTCCTATGTTGAAAATTCTGGATGCTATGGCAACAAATAGACTGAAAATATGGCAAATTTTACACTTAAACTGGATCCAGTGTTAACACAAAAAGTAATAGAAATATTTTTATGAAACTTGTAATATGGGTAGATGGCAGATTATGCTCGTCTTTTTCTTTTCTTCCTATGTTGAAAATTCTGGTTGCTATGGCAACACATAGACTGAAAATATGGCAAATTTTACACATAAACTGAATCCAGTGATAACTCAAAAAGTACTGGAAATATTTTTATGAAACGTCTTGACATATGGGTAGATGGCAGTCTGGAGATTATGCATGTCTTATCTTTTCTTCCTATTTTGAAAAAATATTGGTTGCCTTGGCAACAAATAGGCCTAAAACATAGCAAATATAACAATTTTTGTGATAAGTCAAAATAAGCTGAAATGTTTAATGAAATTGCATCTTTAAATCAAAAGTTATCTCCTCTTTAAGAATTTTTCTTTTAAAAATGTTATATTTTGGTAACAGGGATGTTTCAAATATTAACTTTAGAGTGTCCTTCAGTCCGTCTGTCTGTCTGTTCATAAAAAACTGTTTCCTGTGATCACTTTTAAAGAACTTTTCCAACAAATTTACTTAAAAAAGAGAAAAATTAAAACATTAGTGAATGGCCAATGGCCCTTCAGAATGTTGATGGGGTTCTAACCGGTAGGGGGCTTATGGATTGCTTGCAATACTATGATAATTGCTTGCTATTCCAGGGCTCGCGCTGGCAGGAGCCAATTAGCAAATTGGCTCCAAAATAATTAAATTGGCTCAAGAAAATCACGATTGGCTCAAACTTACGAAAAGTATGACTTTTGGAATCTCCAGTCTAAATTTAGCATTTTCTATTTTAAGAATGGAAAAGTACACATTTGGTATTCCATCTAGAACTTCCGTTTAATCACTTCTTATCTCAAAACACAGTAAATAGGCTAATCAAACTCCGAAAAAACTCCATAAAGGGTTAAACTATCAGCAACAGAAACAAAACTTCTGTAACAAGTATCTATAATATTTGAACGATGATGTGAAAAAAATCGCAAAAAATCGCACGTACCATTTTTTTGAAAAATGACATTGATTTAAGGTCGCAAATCCCGATTTTTGAGTGAAATAATAATGTAAAAAAAGCCTTGTACAACGCCTATAGGCCTATAGTATTACTGTTAAAGTCTTTAATTCTTCACTGTTTGTTTGAACTCGCTAATATAATGTGTGATTGCCCTACTGTGGGTATTTTTCAAGCTGTTTAAGCATTTGTTTACTTTTTGACGGGGTAAAAAATGTACCCCACCCACTATTTCATACAAATGTTGATACAGCAACTTAACATTTGCATTAAATGTGACCAAATAAACAATAAAATATCATCATCGTTATCAATGTGATTATTTATTTTTTTCATTCCTATATCTTAACAATGTTAACATGTACATATTGATATGTGAATGTCAAATAGTTCAAATGGCAATAACAATTGACATATATGAAATTTCTGTCATGAATGTGACATGCGCAAAATATTGGAATATAGTATCATATTCATATACCAAACTTTACATACATTATTATAATTAGAATAAAATAAACCATTTAAATCCATTTAAATGTAATGTAGATTCAATTACAGACAATCTATGAATTACATGTATATATTATATGACACAAAACATATTAAACACCAGAGCATACAACATTATGACAAAGTATTCAATTAATTATTGGTTTTGGTTAATAATAAAAAAAATGTGTTCAAGAACAAAGTCTGAATCATATATGAATTATACTAGACAGGCATTGTTTATTGCCAATTATGATGTCAACCACATATATGAATTATACTAGACAGGCACTGTTTATTGCCAATTATGATGTCAACCACATATATGAATTAAACTAAACAGGCACTGTTTATTGCCAATTATGATGTCAACCACATATATGAATTTTACTAAACAGCACTGTTTATTGCCAATTATGATGTCTACCACATATATGAATTATACTAAACATGCATTGTTTATTGCCAATTATGATGTCAACCACACATATGAAATATAATAAACAGGCATTGATTATTGCCAATCATGATGTCAACCACATATATGAATTATACTAAACATGCATTGTTTATTGCCAATTATGATGTATACCACACATATGAATTAAACTAAACATGCATTGTTTATTGCCAATTATGATGTCAACCACACATATGAATTATACTAAACAGGCATTGTTTATTGCCAATTATGATGTCTACCATGTTATAGAGTTTATCAATTGAATTTCAAAGTGTGTATTATGTTGTATATCTTTGATCATTGGCAACCCCAAGTTCAAAAAGTTTATACTATGAAATTTTCAAGTTCTGGTGAAGCTAAACGTGTTGAACACTATATCCTTTTCTACTATATATTTAGCTATACTTCAATGTTTGCACTGAGCGACGTACATTATTTATTTAGTCAATATCGTTTTCAATATCATTATCTGCAATCTTCACGGAATTAGAGCAATTTATACCACGACATGATCCACATCCGACCGAGCAGTTTAATCCATGTTTCAGACAGGAACACCTTTTTGACTCACAGTTTGATTTGCAATTACAGCGCACTATTTTCAGTAATTGTTCTGGGGCTGCTGCCAGAGATGTTCGAATTGGCCTTAACATGCCTTTGTTAGTCAGTTCCCAGCCCCAACTAAGTGGATCTAAGGTAGTGTTTCCGATCCAAACTTGTGTTTGAAAGTATGTGCGTTGATTGTGATATTTTGCGGCGGTCGATGTTGGTGGCAGAGTATTGACTTGAACGCATACAGTACTCGTCATTACCTTTGAGGCAAACCTGAGATATCGAAGAGTATCCAAGGTCACATTACAATCTGGGCCTGCAATGATTCGAACAAGAGCTTTTTCAGATAGTTTGATGACTTCCTCATGTGACTTATCAGGTTTTAACATCTGCTTGCCGATTTCTTTCAGCTCCTCATTCGTTCTTACTGCTTCCAATACTGTTGCTTTTCCTATGCCGTTAATCCTTGATGTAGAATCGCAACCCGTCAAAGCATGTATATACGGTAGTATTTTACATATATCTCGAGTAAGCAGTGTTTGTGTCTTTTTGATGTCCCACACTTTAGGATTTATTTGATTTTTATCAGATCGGAAGTACACCATTTTGTTGGATGAAACATGATAAAGCAATAAGACGAGGAGATCCGTGTCTTCTCCAATCACAAAGACATTTTTGTTTTCTGCATAATCTACTGCAGTACTCACAATCAGACAATCTGCATCTCCATTTGCATGTATAACATTTACCCCATTCTGCATAAAATAGTCTCCAAGCAGGTAAATAAATTTTTGTTTGTTTGAAACATTTTTCAAGAACTCATCTTTTTTGGATTTAAAGGGGGTTTCCGCAGTAAAGAAAACTTCAGTTCCAACTTTGCCAGTGTTTCTTCGCTCATGTGTAATATCTTTTATCGATGGGCCATTCAAATATCCGTCAAATACAACCACGATAGTTGAGCCCAAGTACCGCTGATTCAAGTATTCATAGTACTGGTTGCATATGCAAGCAAATGTTACATCCTTCCGCCAAGTTATCCTTTGCAATAACGATCCACCATCAATCACATAGACTGTATCACTTTTCACTACTTCGTTAATGATAGCTTTACATTCACCAAGCTTCCATATTGCATCAGCAAGAGTGTGCTTATTTGCCTGTCTAGGATGACCATTATTTTCAAATAAAGACGAAGGGAATGTACTCAGTTCAAATTTGAATATTTCTGATATGTCATCATAAAATCTGCTGGCTATTGTAGTTAAGCGTTGAAAAAGCAACTGAGGATCTATCTCAATTATGACTTCATCTGATATCTTGATGGAAGTACTTTCGTTTAAAGTAATGACTTTGTTTGATCTTTTGAATGGTTGGTCCGAAGGTTTCCCGGTCATGTTTGCAATTATTCTCTCTCCTAAAACCTTTGCTGTATCTACATTAACATTTTCATTAGCTGTAACACCAGTTTCAATATTTCTCAAAGATTTGTTTGTAGGGTCGAATGGCGAATGCTCGTCTATAAAGGATAGCAGTGTTTTCGTGTCTGTTTCGTCTCTCGAACATCTCGCCTTACTGATATCTCTGTGTTGATCACTTGTCCCATAGTTACATCCTGTTAATTCTTGCATGGCATTACCTATTTCTGCGCATGCGGGCATGGATAACAACCAACCTGTTCGCTGCGTCTCAGACATACCTCTTCCTCTAGTAAGACCGCCTGTCGCCTTTAAGGATCTCATTAGAACTTGTTCTATTGTGAGGTCAGTCGAAAGTCCACCCCAATACCTATCGCTCCTTCTGACTGAATGATTCCCGTCCAAAAATTGTTTGTAAACGTCCGGATGTTCCTCCTTTAACCGCAACATTTTCTGTAAGTAAAGATAGGCTGATTTGAGGTAAAGAAAGTGCCCTGAAGACGCAAAATATGGGAGCATTCTCTTTAATGCATCCAAATGGTTTACCCAATCGCCAGTTCGTTCTGCTCGTATGAAATCTTGTAGAATTGCAATCATTTCCATGTATGTGAACCATAACTTAGCTGTCCGATTGCTTTCCAATTTCTGTTTCATATTATTCACTCTTTCAAGAACTTGCCTTAATATCATACTCTCACTTAAATCTGTAACTGTTATGTCTTTCGTTTCCAGCTTTTGATATAGAATAGAAAGCTCTTCTAGCAAGTTGTTGTCATCCTTGTTTGTTACACGAGGCTCATCAATGTCATCTAATTGCTCGACTTCTCCTGGTATAGCAAGTTTGTCAGTTTCAAACGTTTGGCTCATCAGTTTTGCATGAAGTGCTGTGTCCAATAAAAAATGTCCTCGGATAGCTCTTGCGTATGCCTTACCAGACATCATCTGTGTTACCGCATTCGGAGCGTAAATCTTTTCAAGAGCCGACTGTAATCCAGATCCTGACATAATGTAACCTATACTGCCGAGAAAACTCATCTCTGTGTGGAAACCACCGAGACGAAGAACAATTTTTTTAAAGCACTGGATTCGTCCGAGAAATGAATGATATTAGTTGCCTTTTGGAAGAGCGGTTGGTCAAAAGTAATAACCGGTGTGACATTGTACTTTTTAGATTGTTCACATACAAAATGTAAAGTTGAACTTATGCATGTTGGATCGCTGGGGCTCATATCGATCATAGGCATAAATGTTATGCTAGTTGTACCGGGATAGTTTCCAATATTGCTGTAAGTTTGCATAAATCCAGACCATGAGGGTCTCTTCGTGTGTAAGGACCATATCACCTTAGAAAAGAAATCCAAAGTAGTTCCTGTCTTCACTGTGTTTTCTATAGCTGTTAAATCAGAATAGATCAGATTTTCCATTTCATGGTCTGGATATTTGAAGTACTTGACATTGATTTTTCCGATCTCTGGAAGATCTTTTGACAAATCAGCTCTCGGTATTGGTATTCTTACAGATGAACCAGGTGTAGTACAGGCAATAATACCCATGCCATGGAAAGTATTGTGTCCATCAATAGTCCCAATATTGTGATCCACATTATCTGCAACCCATTGCACAAAATTTCCGGGAAAGAAACCTGGAATTGTGGTATTTAAAGTACTGGCAGCATTTCGTTCAAATCTCTGAATCTCTGAGTAAGAACAACTAAATCCTAGCTCGTGCAAAAAATCTATGAGAAACCTTGAGCCAAAATGATGATGCATTTGGACACCGACCCCAATTTGTAAAGGCATCAATACGCTTCTAGGTCTAGATGCTTGTATAATAGCTTGTCCAATAGAAATCATCTTAAGTTCCTCTTTATCTGGAATTATAGTTGAGAGAAGATCAAATATACTACCTGGTACAGCATTTTTATTTTCATCAATAGATGACACATGTGATGGAGTTGGATAATACTTTCTGGTCACTTTCATTGAACAAATGTCAGATCTGATCAATTTTGCTGCGGTTGTAATGATTTTCTTTTTCTTCTCTTCCACTGTCAAACCATATTGTTGTTCTGAAAATTCATTTAAAATAACAGACGCGGTTTTTGTCATCATAATCTTGTCGGCTTTCCCTTCTTTAGATATTATTGATATACAATCTCCAAAATGATGTAAAAGCTTCTTTTTCATATGAGGAATAGAGTATGCACGATCACCACAAAGACTTTCCATCATTGTGGTAAGTTCACCAATGGTAAGAATAACTCCCTCATTGTCTTCAATATATTTAGTTACGCTTATAAATGATTCCATAACGTCAACTGGGGTTCTCTTAGGACTTATCTTTTGTTTCTTAAATGGACTAGTGCCATCTAATTGTTCTCCTGAAAAACGTTTAGGTATTCCTTTACCAGTTCGAAAATTGGAGCTACATGCTTGGTGATAGATAGCATCTGCTGCTGGTAAATCTATCACATGGGAAATTCTACCAAATACCTGCTGGGCCCAGTTGTCATAATTTCTCTTTTTGATATCATTGTCAATTGTCACCTGAAATTCTAATTCTGTGACTGGGTACACATCGTCATTACGACTTCGTTTTCTTTGATTTGCACTTACTTTAATTAATTTTGCAGGAGAACCACAAAACAGACAATTAGTTTTAAAATCAAATTTATAATTTGACTTGGTATAAGGTTGCAATTCTGCTGGGGATTTATTGTCAGTAATTTCTTGAAGAGTTCTTGGATGTGTGTAATTTCTTCTACAATCTTTATGGATATAGTCTCCAGGATTTACTCTCCATTCAGCCTGGTTTTATCTCAGCATATGCATTTATTGTTACACAGCCTTTTAGCAGAGATACTCTTGTCGTCTGGATCAAGCTCTTCCTTGCAAATTAATCTTCTGTTTAATAATGAAAATATCAGGGTTAAGTGAAATAATTACACTTTCAAATAAATTAATAAATAGATAAATATGTGTGATTTCCATGTACATCCTATATTTTAACTGATAAATATGTTATTATGTTAAATATTATTAATATAATTACATGTGCAAAACAATGTATATAGTTGATACTGAAATTTGAATTTAAATCGAAAATCAAAGTTATTTGATTCATCAGTATTTTTAAAAGATTTATTAAACCAGATCATTCTATTGTTTCATATCGATTTTACCATGAATATAATTTGGCATAATTTTGAAACAAATTAGCATATTAAAATTACCTTCCACCGAATTTATGACATCCAAATTAATCATGTACCTATCATTCTTTTAGGCTCAATGTGCTTTCATAAAGACTGTGTGTTACTGTATCCTGAAAATTTATGAAAATAATCAAGGTTTGCGCTAAAACTCTTATTTTTACTTTTATAAATTATCAAATTTAAAGTATAAAATCAAAATATATTTTTCAAGAACAAATATATAATACTGAATATTTATAAAAAAAAAACTCACCTTAGCTTATATTTTCCTCACAAAATATTGAACTCTGTCTATAAATGCTGTCTATATAAGTTTTTTAGCCAAGATTTCCAAGTCTATGATAGGGCAACAGTCATTTGAGGGCTTTAAATGGCGAAGCCTGCGACATGTCTGTAAAAGAATTAAAATATTGTTATTTTATTATGTAAACTTGTTGATCATATTTGACATAATTTGTAATAATTACAGTGTTACTATATATGTAATTTAAAAGGTATATGTTTGTAACTAGAGTGAAATGAAGCGTATGAATAAACTAAATTTTATATTCGACACACAGAGTTAAATAATATATCTACGTACTATTCATTATATTCCATTTATAGTTGACTCATGCTTATAGACATCTTTTCAGAACAGAAGGCAGCACTCCAGAGATTCAGTCAATGTTACGGTATATCTGTAATATAAAGTTCAAAAATGTATATTCAATTTAGTTGTTCACGCTAAAATGCGAAGAAACAGCAGCAAGATTAGTCAATTGTTGAAAATGTTGATAAAGTTTACTAAAAAAATGCAAACTTTCACTGTAAAATGCGAAAAAAATGTGTTATAATTTTATTGATTTAAACGTACTTTTGACCCGTATCCGCTTCCGTAGTTTAAAAAAACCAACGAGCGTTTGCTTCCCGGAACAATATTTTTTGCCAAAAAATTCACTCTTTGCGTGATTATTCTTAGTTTGTACAAAAAACAAAGTTAATATAAGCATAAGAGAGATAAACATACACCAGAAATCTTAAATATCTGCCTCCAGCCCCGTGAGACATTACCAAGGTCATCAACATGCTTTGAGTTCTAAATGTTTGGAAAAAAATAATTTAAAAGAAGATTATATGAAACGCATGTTCTGCATTGTATTATCTTTTCAAAACCATCAATAATTTACCTTTTTCTGTCTCCAAAGGCAAAAAATCTGTGAAAACGTCGACTGTTTACACTTTCGAATTCCTCGCGCGTGCGAACTTCTGCTTGGAGAGCAACAAAGGGAGATAACAAAAACGGCGTACGGTATACGGTTGTGGCCATTAGAATTTTTTATAAAAAGGCTATTTTAAAAAGTCAATAATTTCAAAACGGTAAAACGCTGAGCATGCGATTTTTTTATTAACACTTATCTATACATGTTCTTTCGTGGAGCGTACTATTTGTTTCTGTTGCTTATAGTTTAACCTTTTTATTTACTTTTATTACACTATATTGGTTGTAACAAATTGTAAACAAATTGTTAAACGACCTAGCGTCGTTAAAAGGCATGACAGATCACTACGAATTAGAGACTTCTTTCGCCCAAGTCGCCCCCAAGCTCAAGCCGTGGGCTGCGTTTCATGGTGAGTCCTAAGTCTTAAGTCGGTCCTAAGATAAAAATTGAGACAACTTTTCGTTTCAAAAAGGTCCTTAAAAAGGTCCTAACTTATGACTCCTTTATTGGACCAAAAACAGACCTAAGTCTAGTAGTGTTTTAAAAGTATTTTAAGATTGTCAAATCCACTCCAAAAGCAAAGATGGCAGCGTTCATGGTAGTGTTTCAAAGACGGAGGCCCCTGCGCCAGGGGACAGGTCACAGGCGCTGGACGTCTAGATACTGACAAGGAGTTGATTAGTCAATACTGTAAAAAATTTTCCAAGGGAATCGATCAAGCAAATCACCGATTTAGTGAAAGGGCATATAGATAATTATTTAATTTTACCCATGAAATATGGTGCTACATCAGTCAAATATATTTAATATTTTTAAGAAAATAAATATGAAATATAAATATGAAATTTGGCGGAGTCAAAACTCATATTTATTTTAAGGGACTTCTTTCGCCATTCTGTTTGAAAAATCTGATAACTTCAAAAAAAACTTTTGGCTGAATTTTTTTTGAAAACTATCTAGAAGGATAGAAAATGGTCTAACTAATAAAATAAATCCGAACACCAAAATATTTAATCCAGTCATTAACACTGTACAGACATTTAAAGAGTTGTTTACGTTACGTCACAATGTAGCGCCAAATATCGCGTGCAAACAAGACGCATCTCTTAATAATAATTATATTACTGCGCGCTGTTCAATTGCAGTTGCGTAGCAAGCAAGGGGGTTCGTTACCATTGTCGTTGATAATGAAATTAAATAAAACGGTTATTATTTCGTTTTTCATGAAATATGGTTTATATTTTCACGAAACATAATGAAATGCCACATATTTTCACAAGCCGTGCCGTCTCGTAAAAATATGTGGCATTTTATCATGTTTCGTGAAAATATATTCCACACTTCACGAAAAACGAAAAAATATCCTCTTATTTTTTGTTTTGTGATTGTTGTTCTATCATTTTTTATAAACAATAACTGCATGTTTCTCCTTTGATAAAGTTTTAAATTTACTTTTGCAAATAGTAATGTTTTATGTCAATTACTTCAAGAGGGAAACACATTACGTTTTATAAACAATTGCATAGTAAATCCAGTCCGGGATTTCGCGCGTGCCATTGTATTTTTTAACTTTTTTCAGGAGAGTGAATTGGTCATACTAAGTTAACGACAAAAGATATGACAGTTACTCAATGAAACGGTCTTAAGTGCAAAAACTTTTTCTCCTAAAGTTGGTCATAAATAAGTCCTAGGATCTAGGATTAACTTAGGACTCTCCATGGAACGCAGCCCTGTATATTTCTATAAAGAAAGTACTAAAATACTAAAGAATTAAGGTTTTCAGTTCGAAAGTGATGAAAGGAGTGGTCAGTTACCAAGCAATGTTAGCTCTCCCGGAACTAAATCAGCTAAAAATAACTTGCATATCAAAATCAATCATCCATCACTCAACTTGGAAAACCGGTTCAATCACCCAAAACAAAAGGGAAAAAAACAAGCATGAACACATAACACCACAATAGATCTGGTCTGGCCTTTAAGATGAATTACCATAAATATTCTAAAAAGAGAACTTGGATTTATTTAACCTTATCTACATATATTTTATATATTCTTTTTTTTATTGTATTGCGTTTTAAATATACACATGTAGTCTATATAGCCAGGCAAGCCAAATCCCGGGCCCAATTTGTGGTCCCAGCCTTTGACTTCCCCGAATGAAGTCAATAGTCTTGGTATGTTTCAATCAACTAAACTCTGGGGTTGAAAGGTCATGAGCATTTTATGTTCAATAATTTTGCTACAGTTGTTTCCCTTAAAAAATTTACAGGTACCAAATAGAGGAGATGGAGACGATCAAGCCCGCAGCATAATAAGACAAGAAACGGGCGACAATGGGGAAGCCAGAAACCAAGAACAGTATAGTATGAACAACTATTATGCAGAAGGACAAATTGTATCACTCAGACAGAACAATTTAAACATAAATCCAAGACAAGATCAATATTCTGAAGGTACTTAATACATAATTTGTTGTTTATTATCCAATGCCCATGGAATCGGGAAGGGATATTGTTATGGCTTGTCCGTGCACATCACCAAATAGGAAAAGGTGGTCATCTTACTGTAAACAGAACAAAGGAGAACAATAGAAGTCATTCTGTAACAACAGAGTAAGGGGTCAATGACCCCCTTATTTAACAATAGAAAAAAACAAAAGATTTGGCCCCTTATTCAATTTTGTTCTCTGCAACTACTGGCTGGAATTCAACACCAAGAGGAGATGCACATTTCATCAGCTTGTGCAAGTCAGACCCTTCAATACAGAGTTACGGCAACCTTTGGCAGGAATTCAATAAAAAGTCATAGGAAATCTGCGCATATCTTTGCCTTGTTCCAGTGTTCCAGTTAGACCCTACAACACAGAGTTATTGCCCTTGATTAGTTATGCTGTATGCATATAGAGCAATAATCATTCCCGTGCTTCTTATCTGCAGCCACTGGCAGAAACACAAATTAACTTTATTGGAACCTTCAAAACCAAGGCTAGATTTATAGCATATCATCTCCTTGCTCTGGTCAAACAATGCGACACAGAGGTATGGTCCTTCTTTAGTTATGCAGCATGCATATAGAGCAGTAATCGTTTTCATGCTATTTCTCTGCAACTGCTAACTAGAATTAAACAAAACTTTATGGGAACTATCAATACTAAGAGGAAATACACATATCCTCCCTTTTTTGCGGTCAGACCCTTTAACACAGAGTAATGGCCCTTGATTAGTTATTCAGTATGCATATAGAACAATAATCGTTGTTATTTCTCTGCAACTACATGCTGGAATTCAAGATAACTTTGTAGAAACAATCAATACTAATGGGAGATGAGCATTTAGTCATCTTGTATCTGTCAGACTCTTAAACACATAGTTATGGCCCTTAGATTAGTTATGTAGTATGCATATAGAGCAATATTGCTATTTCTATGCAACTGCTGTATTAAATTCAACAAAACTTTATGGGAACCATCAATACAATAGGCAATTTGTATCTCATTGGCATGTTCAGATAATACTATTTAACGCGAGTTATGGCCTCTGTTATTGGCCTGATTGAATTTTTATCATGTACAAAAAATATTACTGTTTATGCCATGATTTATATATAACAAAAAAAACCTTATGTCCTCAGTAAGTAATAACCAGTACTCGACAGGGGATATAAATTCAACGAATTTGCTTTGTAGTACTTACTTACAGCTGTTGAAATAATTTTGAAAAAAAAAAAAACATGGAAATATTTCAATTATGCAGTCTTATATCCTCTCTCTGGTCTTTTATTTATCACCTTAGCTGAAAATGATGTGAACTTCCATGATGGCAGCTTGTCTGGCATCTGTTGTTATCCACATGTTCTTTATTCACAGGAGTGTGCCTTTGATTTACAATCCTCTGCAAAAATCATTAAATGTTTTCAGTTTGATGCAAAAATAGGTCACATGGACTTTCAGACTGCATTTTTCTTTTAGCTTACTACAACACAACATGCTCAATGTGTTCTATTGTCACTAGTCATTGACAAGATGTCCACACTTCTTTTTGAACAACATCTCCTGAACCACAATGAGTTTCCTGATGAATATTGACAAATGTTTTTAATAACAATATGCAGCTTGCATCAATAATTATAACCTAACATGAACAAATTACAGACTTTTGCATTGACGAATTATGACATTTTCCAGCAGTGTATCTCAGATGAGCAGTACAGGGCCATCATGGCCTTCTTGTTACATTTTCTCCTCATCTTCCAGTTAGCTGGCATTTCTTTTTTGCTGAATACTAAACAAAAATATTTTATACCCCCAAAACAAAGTTTGGGGGGTATACAGGAGTCACCCGGTGGTCGGTCGGTCAGTTGGTAGGTCGGTCCAGAGGTCCGTTGCATTTTTCTTGTCCGGAGCATACTAATAACTTGAAGACTAATGGTTGGAATTCAATATAACTTCATACAATGGTCAAACATAATAAGGGAAAGTGCCGTGCATAAGAATCATAACTTTATCTTGACTACTTATAGAGTTATTGCCCTTTGTTACTTTTCCATTGATTTTTGTCCGGAGCATTAATTGAAGACTAATAGTTGGAATTAAATATAACTTCATACAATGGTTAAGCACATTGAGAGAAAGTGCAGTGCACAAGAACCATAACTCTATCTAAAGTAATTACAGAGTTATTGCCATTTGTTACTTTTCCATTGCTTTCTTTTGTCCGGACCATAACTTGAAGACTAATAGTTGGAATTCAATATAACTTCATACAATGGTCAAGCACATTGGGAGGAAGTGCAGTGCACAAGAACCATAACTCCATCTTGACTAATTACAGAGTAACTGCCCTTCGTTACTTTTACTTGTCCGGAACATAACTTGAAAAGTACTGGTTGGAATTCAAATTAATTTCATACAATGGTCAAGCATAATAAGGGAAAGTGCCGTGCATAAGAACCATAACTTTATTTTGACTACTTATAGAGTTATTGCCCTTCGTTACTTTTCCATTGCTTTTTGTCCGGAGCATTACTTGAAGACTAATGGTTGGAATTCAATATAACTTCATGTTGGTTAAGCACATTGAGAGGAAGTGCAGTGCACAAGAACCATAACTCCATCTTGACTAATTACATAGTGATTGCCCTTTGTTGCTTTTCCTTGTCTGGAACATAACTTAAACATACTAGTTGGAATTTAAAACAACCTCATACAATGGTCAAGCACAATAGGAGGAAGTGCAGTGCACAAGAATTTTAACTCTGTCCAGAGTAATTATAGAGTTATTGCCCTTTGTTACTTTTCCATTGCTTTTTTCTTGTCGAGAGCATATTTTGAAAATTGCTAGTTGAAATTCAATACTATTTCATACAATGGTCAAGTATATTGAGAGGAAGTGCAGTGCACAGAAACTATAACTCTTTTCTTGACTTATTAAAAAGTTTTTGCCCTTTGCTACTTTTATTGTCCAGTTCATAACTTGAAAATTAATGGTTAGAATTCAATAAAACCTTATACAAAGATCAAGGGCAGTCAAATGAAGTACAGTGCACAAGAACCATAACTCTATTTGGTCTAATTACAGTTATTGCTCTTTACTTTTTTGTCCTGTGCATAACTTGAAAACTGGTAGTTGGAATTCAATACAACTTCACACAATTTTCATGCACAATGAGAGGAAATGCAATGTACAATAACCATAACTCCATCTTCAGTATTTATAGAGTTATTGCCCTTTGTTCCTTTTCCTTGTCTTTCTGGACTTATTACAGAGTAAATCAATAAAATTTCATTACTGGCCAACCACATTGAAAGAAAATGCAAAATACAAGCACCACAACTATCTTTATTTGCCCACAACCATAACTCGATTTCAATTTCTTTAACAATGTATTCTGTTACTAGTAACATCCTCATTTCCGAGGCTGTCTTGCGGGGATATTAATCACATTTAGTGATAGTTCTAGTTTAAACAATTCTAAAGCAATTTACAATAATTGAAAGCAAGTTGCTTAACAGTTATATTACAGTTTTATTTTATTTTAGATGATGGTTTACTACAAAGATTAAGACAGCCACAACCAAATGAAGTATTGTTACGAAATGAAGTTGCAGCTCTCCCACAAAGATTAAGAGAGCAACTATCAGATGAAGTCAAGTGTTTGATGTGTAAGAGTAATATCCGTGACGCCGTAATCAGGGACTGTGGACACCTGATATTGTGCCAAAAATGCCTTCTTAAATTGGTTCACTGTCCGAGCTGTGGGAGAAAAATCCGAGCATGGAGTGTGGCTTCTTGGTTTTCGTAAAATTTTCTTCAAAAAACAAAATATTTCAATCATCGAAAAGAGACTATTACTTCTTACTTATTAGCAACACGGATGTTTTGAGTTTGGATTACTTATCAAATCAGAATTTATTAACTGAAATTCTTTCTAAAACTAAAGTACATGCTGCGAAAAACACTGAGAGTGTTTTGTGTTCATTTTTTGAAGTTCTTAATTTTATATCCTCCCTCAGTGAACGTTCATATAAATCTTAGCAGTAAATTCGCACACATCACAACTACATGGTTATCGTCGAAGTGATAAAGAACTTAAAAAAAAAAACAAAAAAAAAAATCATATATTATATACAGATGTACTTGTTTCATTTTTTTAATGATAAAAAAGGTTATAGCTTTGTATGGTTTTTTTTTCAAAGTCAGAGTCAAAAAACATTTATCTCTCTTATTCCACACAATGAGGTGACAAACATGAATAAACCTACTATTTCAATTGTGTTGAAGATTGTAACTCAAATAATTATTATTATTAGTTAATTTAACAATTAAAGTGGCATTGTGTTCATTTTTTTTCCGCTGTTGTGTTGAGTTGAATTAGTAACATATTTCAAACAATTGGATGTTATAATGGTAATTGACTAATAATTGATCAAAAGTGTGTATGATACAATATAAAACCTGCTTTAAATGGTAAAAAACTGCAACACTCTAAATAATAAGTGAGCATTACTGATATATTCTGAATGATATTTATAGACGTGGATTATTGATTATTGTTTCATAGTAAAATATAAACAGTTATGACAAAATGTCAAATTATTTTTAATCTTTCTTGTTCACTGATCATTTACTGTTAGATGGACAAAATGTCACTTGTATACAGCATTTTATATATATGTTTCTTTTTTATATTTTTCTATCTGTTTGAAGTTATATATTTTATAAGACATTTTGTTAAGATTACATATTTACGTGTACATCTTTTAACTAATCTACGGTCATTTCATACACAACATTTTGTCCTTTTTACTATTATTATTTTCATCATTATTTTTGTTTAATTTTTATAGTGAGCATGACTCTTGTCTGAATATTTTAGATCTCTTTACATTTAACTTTATTGATTTTACACTTAAATGACTTTTTGTAATTTGTTGTTATAAATGTTATGATTTTTTTGTGTGAAATTGTTAAAGCCTGTGATTCCAAGATGACTGTGATGAAATATTACTAATTGCTATGACAATTATTATAATTGAATAAATAGTTAAAAGATGTATATGCAATGTATATCAATCAGATTATTTGGCGGTCTGTTAGTCAGTTTTTAATCTCATCAGCATGTTGCCTTAAATTTTCCCCAAACAGATGTGTAAATATAGTTGGCAAATATGGATGATTTTAATCCAGAATTATGTCCCTTTATTATTAAAAAATGGACGAAATTCTTTGAACTTGGAGAAGAAACTGTTAAACAAAAGATGGAGTTCTTATGATTACTTATAAAGACTTCTTATGATAACTGTCACGGAGTTCATGGAAAATGTTACAGATTTTGGCGGAAAATTATTTAATTGTATACTGGAGAAACACACATGAAAAATGTCATTTTCTTATCTTTAAATGGGAAGTTGAGGTGCTAAATAAATCTTTGATGATAAAGCTTACCTCACATATTGTATTGTGTCAGAAAAACTATGTAGTCCATTTTTCAACGCATTTTGTTTAAAAATCTAGTAGTTTTGAGTAAAATTTCCAAATTACTTGCTCATTTGTACATATTGACCTTTTCATGTTCAAGAGATCTTCTTCATTGTCATACCTAATTACCTAATCAAAGTGGAAAGTTGCAAACGTAAAGCCAAGGCTAATAAGTTTATACCCATTTTTTCAAGTTCTGGTGATAACGCTTAAGATGTCCTAAAATTCTTATGATAACCTTTGTTATTACCAGTTTGTTTTTTGTGCAAAATTAGGCACATTTTAGCATATTTTATTTTAGCGTATTTTATAAGACAATTATAAGTGTGTAAGTCATTATGATACGTAGTACCCAAATCATTTCCACAAAAATTGTTTTTATATAATGTTGGTTTTGAATATATTTAAATTCAAGAGATATTATTTCTTACCTGTTTTTTTTTTCATTTTATAGAATTTTTTGCTTACACAGATTTTGTAGACTTAAAAAAGACTTGATTGAGAGCATTTACTTACAGGATAAAATACGCTTTAAATTCAATGCTCAAGCATGTGTCTTCATGTATACATTATTCCTGGCAGTTTTATAGAACATTCAGTAACAGTTACTATGTTATTGGTCTGCCGAAACAGATTACATGTAAATGGTTTGCAGCACAATATGAAATTGTATGCATTACCTTTCTATATATAATTCGGTGAGGTGGTGGTCATTTTCAGGAAGTCAACAGATATTTTGATTTATAAAAGGTGTCAATAGACGTTGTCCCTTTATTAAATCCAAAAAAGTTTTCCAACAAAATCCGTAACGTTTTCCAGGAACTCTGTGACAATTATCATAAGAACTCCGGAAAAAAGTAATCATAAGAACTCCCTTCCTCCCCCATGATTACATCACCTTTCAGCTTGTTTTGACCTCATGAGATGTAAGTTGTGCAAAATTGCATTTAAAAAGGTCTTCTGATCTTGGAATAATTTACTCAAACTCTCACATAGTGAAAGCAGCAATGGGATAAATAGAATCTTTCATTGGGTAAGATAGAGGATAGGGAAATCCCAACCCGAGGGTGATCGGTTCCATCGGAAAAGAGCCTTGGCGATTTCCCAATGGAACCGATTGCCAGAAGGTTGGGATTTCCCTATCCTCTATCTAACCCAATGATTGATTATTTTTTTCACTCACCTGGACACACAAGAAACAAAATATAAATATTGATTTGAAACTACTTGCATTACAACGTACCTAGTTTTGAAAAGTGGGACGGGGCTTAGGCGCTTGACTTTCTATGCATTATGTACGTTCGCAAAAAATTCTATATGTGAAAAATTTAATGAAAATAAATTCATTTTAGATCTCTCATCAAAAAGCAAGTTTATAATGATAAAACACATCAATATTAAAGTCAGAAAGTGTCATACTATAAGTGTTTATTAGGAATTCAGTCCATACTTTAATGGTTGACAAAAACCGTTTACTCTTTTCAAAGATTTTTCTACTTATTTTGGTTATTTTGGCCGAATATTCGATTAAAATGAGATTCACCATCAAGAAGTATCGTTATCATATCAGAAAACATGGTTGTTTTTCAGGCAATGTGTCATAATACCCGATTTTACGAAGAATTTTGCGAATTTTTAAAAGTGTGTTTTTTTTAGTATCATACCGATATTGAAAAGGCAGGACCTATGTAGAGTAGAACTCATTGCAGTGTGAAAGTTAATATCAATCTATTTTGATTCCGTGGACAAATTTATCGATTTGCTCACATATTTTTAATACATTTTGACTTCATTTTTGTTAAAATAGGAGTGAATCGCGTATGTGTTGGAATACGTTTTAAGAAGTGGTGCACGTTGAGTGTGAGATAAGCCCATATGAGATAAGAATTTCCAACACCGCTATGTTTAGTAACATATACGGTTTTTTCTCTCTGGTAAGTGAGAAATCTGTTTAAATCATACTTAGGTAGGATATCAATATTTTTTGTTGAAGAACACACTTGAAAACAAGGGAAAGTTGTAGTAGAATTGTACCTTCAAATCCTCCTTTTATGTCTCAGTACCAAGGCAGTGTTATTGAAGTAAGAAACTAATGGAATTTAATCAGAGGTTTTGTTTTAAAAAGAAAATTTCTCACAAGTTTTCGCTAAAAAAAATTATCATGCGCCACATTTTTATATGTGTGTATAATATATGTATACAGTTATCTATTAAAGCCATAAAGGTTTTGTATGTTCCAGGTGACATATCAAGAAACAAGGATTTTTTTTGGGGGGAGGGGGATCATTCTTTTCATTTGGAAAATGTATTTGCTTATTTTCTTACACATATGTTCATATATTTGCATAAATATTGTCAGATGAAACAGATGTTACATTAATCGTCTCTCTTCCTGTATATAAACCATCATAGTAAATATATGCACCTTTACCACATTTTTGTTTGGTGAGGTTCTACTTTATATCTGTGATAAAAGAAAATATTTTTTAATTATTTTTTCTATTTTTTTTATTTTTAGACTTTTGTCAACCAGTTCCTATATCCCTTAATTACTCATTTATTCTAATGTTCTTTTACTAACAATATTCTCAAAACTAGACCTATATTTTAGCAAAAATGGCGTCTAAGGCTCTTAGTAACGCTCAAAAATGCTATATGGTGTGTATTTAAGGCACACATTTCTTTTTCATGGTATGCATTTGTATTCTATGCACAAACAAGTTGCTATGAAGACACAGTATCATTGCAAAGAACTATTGCTATTTTACCAACACAAGATTGGGATTTTAAAGAAATTGTGAACTTTTCTAAAACACATTGAATTGCTATTTTAAAGGAATTCCACTTATGTTCAAAAAGCCTTAAAAAACCCATAGAATTTGAATTTCTTACACTGTTAAACATCGGTGCACGAAACAGAAAGATTTGCAATAATTAAGATGATACATGTATAATTATACTAAATGATAAATTGAAAATCGTATTTCTACGTTATTCTTAGCTTGATATTAGTGAAAAGCTTCGATTTGGCTCTTTTTAAACTGTAATAATAATTATTCTGGGCAAATATAGAGATGAGGGATTGATCTGAAATTTTACTTATGGAACATTAATCTCTAAAATTTAGTTAAAGTCCCATCATGTCAGAAAAGCTCAATGGAGTCCCTTTAAGATACAATTAACTTTGTTATTCAAGAAACTATTTTATACTCTGCTGTAAAAGTAAACTGTAATTTCTATGTATATTTAGCAAGGAATGTTATAAAAAAAATACCCAAATTGATGTTAAATTCCTGTATTTTGAGGTTCAAACAAAACTTTTACATTTCCTATA